GCTCTGAGGGCAGTGCTGGACCACCTTTGGGGTGCCTGTCTTTTTCCCTTTCTCCCTCCCTTCTGTCTCTTCCGCTCCTGTATCTCTTCCTTTTTTCTCCCCCTTCCCTCTTTTCTTTCCCTCCCCTCCTTCTCTTCAAAAACATTAAATTACAGCAGAACCTTTAAGGTTCCTTCATGTCAGGCCTTTACATTGTTTATACGTGGAAAGCAATATCCATGGCTGGCTTTCTGTAAACAGCTGGCTTCTTTTTTTTTAATAAAGCATCCCTTGCCACCCGGGGCCCGGATGTCCAGCCAGCTGTGTGAAGAACGGACCCTGTGCTGTCCCCTTCACCTGCCACACACGTGCTTCCTGCCAGCCCAGGGTGCCGTCAGGCCTGGGCTCCTCGGCATTTGGTCCCTGTGCCTCCCCATGCCCTACGCACAGGCACTGCTGGGGTTCCAACTGCTTTGGCCTCGTGTGGCCCTGGAGAAATCAGGGATTCAGTCAATGATGGGGAACCTTTTAGAGCTTTCAGTGATACAGACAGCCCACCTGGAGCACACGTGCCGCTGGTGCGCCACCCCTGGATAGGTACGTAGTTGGCTTCTCTCCTGCTGGCCTCCAGTAGGGCTGGCACTTCAGCCGCCAGACCTGCTAGTTCTTGGTGGTGGTAGAGTGGGCTCGGTGGCTTTACCCGCGGCTCTTCTCCCACTTCATGCCCTCCCTTAGGGTGTCCTTGCCTCGGTGCACTAGGAATCCAGCTTGATAGGTGAGTACTGCCAGGCCAGTGGAGCAGGCCACCCAAGCCCAGTGCACCGGAACCCTGGCAGGGGCTGCATTTCCAGACTTGTTTCCGGACAGGTGTGGCACGGGGAGGCTGCCTGGCCACCTCTCCTGGTGTCACATGGGCCCTGTCCTGGAAGCTGCTCTGTCTTCACTATGAGCTGCGTGAACACTCTCCGGGCCCAGTGCCACGGTAAGAGTGGTGAGTGAGCTCCTAGGTTCAGTGTGGAAAGTGTTACCTTGGCAACAGCAAGCACGCCTCATTACCAGATGGCATTAGCTTTTCTCTGTGGCATCCCATAGCCCATCTGTGGGCGTCTTGCTTCTGACCCGGCGTCACCGGCTACTTTGTGGAAGGCGTCCACCGGCCCATCTGCAGTGTGTTGTAGCAGTGTCAGAAGTTGAGGATTGCTGCAGCCGCGCACACAGGGCTGGGAAAGCTCAGTGCCCGGAGAGGGAGGCCCTGACTGGCTGCGGGGGCGGGAGGGGATGCGAGAGTGAACGCAAAGCTCTGTCCCATGGACTCAGAGGCCTTGTGAGTGCGTCCTAGAACACGGCGCTGCGCGAATCCTCTTCATTTTCCCAGCCAGCCCCCTGCATGTGTCTCATGGCTGCCTGTGGGATGGAAGCCTGTGCAGAAACACGGGCCTTGCCCCACACGCTGAGTGGCCGTCGCTGGTCAGCGAGGCCTGCGGGGGCCTCCGCCTTCCCCTGATCTGCCCTCAGCCACCACCCTCAGGCCCACAGCGCTGGGCTCTGCAGCGCTGTCCCCCTCTCCCGAAGCCCCCTGAGACTGAGTGACAAGTTCCCCAGCCTGCAGGTGGCGTCCTTTCCACTTCATCCTTGGTGCCAACTGGTGTCGGATCGCGCTGCCCTGGCAGGGTGCAGACGAGGGCTCGGGCGAGTAGCCGCTGCTCCTCTCAGCATTTCCTCTGTGTGCACCAGGCCCTGGGCATCCTCCTGGGCTCCCCGTCTTCCTGAGGCAGAGGCAGCACTGTCTCCACATCCACGGAGGAAACCCCCACTCAGAAGTAGGGAATGGGCCCATTCCAGTGCCTGCACAATCGGAGGTGTAGTCAGTAGTGGCCATGTTAACACAGCCGTAATTCTGTGCCTGTCCAGCATGGATGAGCTCTAGCATCCTTTCTGGCTTTGCAAAAAAGCAGAGAGCCTCATGCATTTGAAAGACATTAAAAGGAAACCAGTGCAAGACCTCACAGCACTGACGGTCTGCAGACCACCCCAGCCCCAGATGCAGTCTTGCTAAAAAAATCAAGCCTGCGAGTCACCTATTCCCAATTTTAGGAAGTACGGGGTAAGAAGAACAGGGTAAAGTGCACCACGGTGGAACCATCTGCAAATGTAGATGTGGAACCCTCTAGAAGGTTAGAAAATGACCCAGTTGCTTCATCCAGTAAAGGGGGCGAGGAGGTGCCTTAGCTTAGACGGGAGAGGTGAAGCTGGTCACGTGTGTGGGCCATAGGTGGGAAGACGTGGGAAGGGGGCTCTGGGCCTGGGTGTTGGACGCTGTGGGAGGATCACTATTGTTCAGACCTGGGATGGCGGCACAGTTGGGCTCTTTGGCTTTCAGATCCCTGATCTTTTAGAGACCTGCACTGAAACAGAGATCTGTACAGAGAAATGACACCAGGGCTGTTAACGATTTCAGAGTGGCATGGGAACGGAGAAGGAGGTGGCAGCAACACAAAGCAGGGAAGAGCCAGCCAGTGCTGCAGCAGGATGGGCACGCGGCCCTCCTCTGTACGGGGCCATCGGCTCTGGTCTGCTTTTAAATCTTCCGTAAGGAAAGCCTTTTAAAAACAAGTTGGCGCTCCACTGTGTGTGCAGGGGTAGGAGGTGGCGTGCAGTCAGCGTGTCCATCCTTGCTGGTCGGCACACTTGTGGAAAAGTGTGGCAGATTGTGTCAGAAGCCTTCGCGTGTCTGTGCTGTTTGTACCAGTAATTACATTCCTGCAAGTCTGCCCTAAAATAGGAAATAATCCCAAATGCAGGGAAAGCCTTGTCACAGAAGTGTTCATTGCAGCCACATTTTTATGAGGGACGTGTGGAAGCACTGAAAGGCCTACCGGTAGGAGGATGATTAAAGGAGCTGTGGCAGGTTTACTCCTTCACAGAACCACGCAGCACCTACTGCTGTTTGAAGACTGTGTAGCAATTTGGAACAATGCTTGTCAAACCCAAAGTAAAAATGTTGAGGAGACGTTACATAGGTATGACTAGTTTCCATTGTAACCATGTCAGAAACTCAAAAATGATAAATGTTGGGTAATAAAAATATTTAAAGGAAATAGCCTAAAATGCAAATGGTTATCTGTGGATGGGAACTATCAATGATTATCTCCTTTTTCCTCCAGTTTTAGATTTTTGCATAATAAATGTGTATTTGGGGGGATATTTAGCTCAGGGGTGCTGCCGCCTGCCTAGCTAGTACAAGGTCCCCAGTACCAATAAATAAATTAATTGAATTAATACATAAATAAAATAAACATATTTTAACCTTTTAAATATTAATTTTAAAATACCAAAATCCACTTCTAAAAATATTTTAAACTACTTCTGCTATCTTTACTATGTTTCTGAAATCCATCCTAAGAAATTTAGGAAACTACTAAGGCAATTTATGAGTTAATTTAAGTCAGCTGATTGTGGTGTCTTCTTCGGAAAACAGCTGCTTAGTTCTGCACCCCGTGGCAGAGACAGAGTGGGCAGTTGGAGTGGTGGCCTTCACTTGCTACCCATGCTTGTAATTACCAGACAGTGGCTCGGCTGCTGTCCCTCTGGCCTGCTTTCCCTTTCATAAGCCACTTTTGGCCGAAGGCAGAGTTGCCAGTCCTGCCATTGTGCTTTGTTGCGTTCCTAGGCTGTGTTCTCCGTTACACGAGGGCCACCCACTGAGTGGTGCCGAGATAAGGTACACTTCCTAGCTCATTCTTCCCATTCCAGCCCCACTCCTGTGTGTGGTGATGCTTGGTACTGGGGACTGAACCCAGGGCGCTCTGTCACTGAGCTGCATCCCTGTCCCGCTTTGTTTTTTCTTTTGAGTCAGGGTCTAGACGCTAAACTGCCTGGGTAGAACTTGAACTTGGAATCTTCCTGCCTCTGCCTCCTAAGTGTTGGGATTACGGGTGCATGTCACCACTTGGGGCTAGCCTTCTCTTCAATGTAAACAAATACATCTTTTCTTACTTTTTTGACATTCTCTACTGGTTTAGGCACATAAAAGTAAGAGACATCAACCCGGCACTTAAAAACACCGAAGGCCCCAGATGTTGGGCATTCGCTGGTACCCAGGACTGGTCCAGGAAGGAGGACGGCGGCTTGTGGGCAGTCAAGTGGAAAGCTGTGGGAGTGGGAATGCAGAAGGGATGGGCAAAGGCCATCCAGGGCCGGGGCGCTGTGGGGGCTGAGGCTTCTGTCTGGCAGGGGCTCGGAGGGCTTTCCGTTTCCTGATCTGCGATGCCTAGCCCTGTTGGGCAGCCCAGGCCCCATGGCCTTGGGGGTGATCTCAGACTGGGTTGGCCTCAGGGGTCTTAGCTGGGAACTAACAGGTGAGTGGCCAAGCTTCTGAAGGATGTGAGCACAGCAGCCCCTGTTCCCCTGACACATCTGTGTGTTTTGGTACCGGGGATTGAACGCAGGACCTTGCGCTCGCGAGGCAGGTGGCGGAACCACTGAGCTAAAGCCCCGGCCCTCCCTGGCATACACAAAACTGCATGTTTTTAGGTGTTTGTTTTTTAAACCCATAGCATGTGCTTAGGTTCTAGGAGAGTAAACGCACTTAAATGTATTTCTGGGATCATGTTTCTTTTCTGGAATTAAAATTCAGCCACTTTCCTTCTACCTCCAGACTTTATTTTTGTATGGTTTCTCCGCTTTGTTCCCGCTCCTATAAATAGCTGGTTCAGCCAGCCGCACTGGGCGCCTGCTCTTACTCTGTGTTTGCCCAGCGTGGTCCCTGGGACAGTGTGGAGACAGGTGTGCTCGCTGGTCCTAGGCGGGAGAACCAGGAGATCCGAGGCTGGCAGAGGGCGGGCGTGCACACGTGTGTCACATCAGGTGGTGCGTGTGTGTGAGACAGCCCAGAACACGGGCCGGGGGTCTGAATCGGGCCCACGGCGGCCACAGCCGTCACGGAGGGAGAGTGCCCTGCCCGGCGGGGTGGGGTGATGTTCAAGTGTGAGCGCTCACGTTTGCACGCCCGTTTGTGACAGGTGACCCTGGGGAAGGTGCTCAAAGTGATTGTCGTCATGCGGAGCCTGTTCATCGACCGGACCATAGTGAAGGGCTACAGTGAGAGCGTCCACACAGAGGACGGAAAGGTAGGCCTCCTGAGTCCTTTCCCTCTTGATTCCCTGTACCCGAGAACAGGGTCCCCGGTGAATGACATTAAAAACTAGCAATCCTAGCTGAAATGATCTACAAACACAGATTTGTCAGTACAAAGATGAACGCTTTGCGAAAAATATTCTCTCTGCTTGCATTTTTCATCAAGCTTCTGCATCTTCCTCTCAGCCTGATGCCCTTAGTTGAATTTCTAATTTATCACCTTAGACCCCAGTTTCCTCATTAAACGTATCTTCTGAGGAAGTGGATTTTTTTTCTGCAGTCAGCCAGCACATCCATAGCCCAGGGTTCTGCATTCTGCTTTTCCTGGAACCATGAGGAAAACAGTTTGTCTGAGCAGCCCGATGACGCTCCTTTTTCCACGAGGCTCGCAGACAGCCCCAGGAAGTCCCGTGCGCTCAGCCCGCACACTGAATGCTGCGCTCCACACAGACAAGTCCCTTCCGCGGGTAGTTTGCTGTGAGGCAGGTTCGGCAGTGTGGCTCTCTGATCGCTCCGCCCAGAGGGCAGATGGCTCTGGGGAAGCCCCTGCTGAGACCGGCCCTGACCTGCACCCCTGGTGGCCACGCGAGGACGCAGTGCTCTCCAGAACAGGTGGCACGCACGGCTCTGCACACGCCGTGTATCCCGGAGGCACGGCCAAGGTGGGATGAGATCTGCAAACCCAAGAAGTCGCGCCATTTCTGCACCACCCGTGTCGCCTGCTCTCAGTCCGGGGGCAGCGTCATTTGCTGAGGGAGATTCCCACTGTCTGCGGAGCGAGCGTGGAGAGCGGAGTGTGAGGTTCCCAGACTTCAGTTGCCGCGGAGCCCGCCAGGGCAGCGGGCACCTCGAGTGCTGATCCTCTTACCGCCACTGTCGTCACACCTGGTGTGAAACAGCCCAGCTCACCAAGGACGTGGAGGAGAGAGTGAAGAACCAGCACGTAGGAGTGGGGCGTAGTCAGGACCACGATCGTGGGCGTGAGGAACGCAGATCTCACCTGCTGTGTGCGACACCCTTCAACTGTCAGCCCAGCTGCCCTCTCCCGAGTGTGCCTGGAAGGTGTCTTAACTCCGCTGCTTGGTAAACGCTCCACTGAGGGCGGCGGGAAGGAAGCGGGCCGTCTACCCCGCACCTAGAGGGATTGGACAGGAGCGGCATGTGTGCACCTGTAGACCTCTCTCTGATCACTGCTCCCGGCCCCTTCCACTGCTTCTGTCCCGCCTTCTCCTTGACTCCGGTTCCCGGGGGCCTCCTCTCCCTCTGCTCACCCCCCTTTGACCGATCTCGTCTCTGCCGCCCACACAGGACACGCCGGGACACTCCTCACATTCAGCCTGGCCAGGCCCACACTCATCAGCTCTCTCCCTGACTCAGTTTCTTCTTGCTGAGTGCCCATCTGCCTTCCCGCCATACCCCTTAGTGCTCTCTGCGGTCATCTGCCCTCGTCTGTCCCACAGTGGCCTCCTCTACTGCACTTCCAGGGTCTTGATCTCTACCCTGAGCACCACCCTGGCCACCTCAGGCGTGTCTCCCTTGCTGCCCCCATAGTGTGCCCTCAGAGAGATCTCCCTAAAACATGTGCCTGCTCCTCTCCATCTCCCACTGCCCAGAGGAGGAAGTGGCAGATTAATAGAGGCTGGCACCGAGCAATCCATGGCGATAAGATGGAGAATGCTGGATTGGACCAGAAAATGCAGCATGCGGCCCCTCCCTCTCTCTCTCTCTCTCTCTGTCTCTCTCTCTGTGCTGGGGATCATGGGGATCAGACCTCACATATACTAGGTAAGCACTCCCCACTGAGCCCAGAACTTCAATTTCTTTACTGTAAAAATTCTTAGAGCCGTGCCAGGCGTAGTGGCGCATGCCTGTAATCCCAGCACTCAGGAGGCTGAGGGAGGAGGATCGCTGGGAGTTCAGGACCAGCCTGGGCTACAGAGTGAGTTCCAGGTCAGTCTCAACTACATAGTGAGACCCTGTCTCAAAAAACCAAAAAAAATAAAATTCTTAGAGCCTCTTTTCTGGGAGCTGTGGATCCCCGGGCCAGGCCTAACTCGCTCCTCCCACAGGTGGAGGACGTCTCTCCCTCCCCGCCCATTCCCCAGAGAACCACCCAGCACGAGGCCCTGCAGACCTTGGCCGCGCTCCTGGCTCCGGTTACAGGCCAGGCCTTCACCTCCGCTGCGCTCCCCCTACCTCGACTCTATAGATAAAGGTGCCGCAGATGCCAGCCAGCCCGTTACTCCTCAGGAGAAGGGGCTCTCTCCTGGCCCCAGCTGTACCTCCATCTCAGCCCTCCTTTCTATCTCCCACCTTTCCCTTCTGCCATGTGGCACTGGCACCTCTGCTTTGCGTATCAGCCCTCTCACTGTCTAAGAGATACACGGTGTGCAGTATTTTTCTAGCTTATTGGGCCACTCACTGAGTTCTTTTACAGTGGACCCTTGACTTACGACCTCAATCTGTTCCTGAGGACTGGTTGTAGCTCAAGTTGGTCAGTGAAGGCTCAGGCCGCTCTACACAGCCTTCATACAGGCAGATCTCAGTGTCCTTAGAGAGACCCTGGCCCAGGATTTCTCAGGTAACCCCACACGTTCCTTCCAGACTCTTTCATGGTTAAATCTGCATCTGAGACCATCCAGAAGCACAAGCGGCTGGCATTTGGGTTGTAAATCAAGACTTTGTTAGTAAGTTAAAACTGAAAGTCTGGTTGTAACCCAGGTTGTTTGTATGTCAGGCCTGTTGTAATTCAAAGGTCCACTGTATTTCTTTTCTCCTTTATTCTTAGAGCATACTATGACGCTGGTATTTTGTACAACACACTTCAGAGGCCTCTGGCTTAGAGAATAAAACCCCAGCACTTTTGCAAGGCATGGAGATGCCTCCTGCCTTCCTATCTCCCCTGGACCTCCCAGCAGGAGCACGGTACTGTCCTCAATATGGACACCGGCTGTGGGATTTGGAAATGTCTGGCCAGTGCTAGAAGTTAGACATCGTGACTCGATTTACACGTCCATCGTCAGTTCATGTAAGAACTGTCCAGACTCTGCCTGTGGTGGTCATCGAGCCGTAGCAGTATCGTGTGGTGACAGCCCTGCTGTTAGACTCACTTTACTTCGTCCTAGAGGGTAAGGTGTCTGCCTCAGCCACACAGACCCTTTGCCTCTGCCGTGTCCTTAAGATCTGACACGCTTTAATGCCCAGTGCAGTATGGGAAGAGGTGAAAAAATAGCCTCCTTGGGTGTAAAAATACAGAGTTGGACTGGAACACAGAGTCAGAAATGAAAACTGGAAGGCAAGCATGGCCGCTCAGGCCTGTGGTCTGATCCTAGCACCCTAGGAGGCTGAGGCAGGAGGACTGCAAGTTCAAGCCCAGCCCGGGCAGTTTGGCAAGCCCTTGCCTCAGGACTATTTTTTTTAAAGGGTCTGGGCTGGAAATGTATGTAGCTCAGTGTGAAGCCCCAGTGCTCAGTGTCTAGTATAGGGTGGAGGAAAGGCGCATTCAGAAGAAGCAGCCAGCGTTGAAGTCATACATAGACCCTTTGAGACACACTGGTGCACATACTTTAGCACCCTAGGAGGCTGAGGCAGGAGGACTGCAAGTTCAAGCCCAGCCCGGGCAGTTTGGCAAGACCTTGCCTCAGGACTAATTTTTAAAGGGTCTGGGCTGGAAATGCATGTAGCTCAGTGTGAAGCCCCAGTGCTCAGTGTCTAGTACAGGGTGGAGGAAAGGCGCATTCAGAAGAAGCCGCCAGCGTTGAAGTCATACATAGACCCTGTGAGACACACTGGTGCGCATACTCTCCTGACAGGAGCAGTGTGGTTTCTCTGCTCGTCAGAAAGAAAATGGGTTTGTTTGGTAACCTGTGGTAACCTGGATTCAATTGGGACGTGAGAAATGCAGTGGGGGTGCCCAAAGCTTGATGATCAGCCTGACTGGCTTGGGAGCCACCTAGGACATCAGTGAAGCACCTTCTGGGTGTCCAGCAGGTCAGAGCTTTGTGGCCTGGAGTCCCGTACCGGGCCTTGCTCTCGCCTCTCTAGCACTGCGCCCCCTGCCTCCCGGCCACCATGATCTAAGCCTCTCTGTCCTGCCGGGCCCTTCCGCTGTGCTGTTCCTGCTTTGGGGCCGGCCGGCCAGCCGGACTGAATCCCCTGACACCGCCAGCCAGACCAAAAGCCTTTCCTCCTTTCACTTGTGGGTGTCGGGCATATTGGTCCCAGCAACAGGGAAGCGAGCCCCTGGTGGGACAGGAAGCCTCCTGTCCTCTTGTACAGCTGCATACACAAACCCACATCAAACACAGGGACCTCAAACTTAGAAATGGCAAGGCTGTGAGGCCACCCCTCTTGGTCTCAGGGTGAGCTGGCCGCCCTTGGTGGAGAAGCTGTCGGCTGACTGGCCCTCCCGGCCCTCACTCTGGCCTGTTGCTTCGCTCTGTGGTCCAGAGTACCTCACCGATGATAAAAATACCGTGCAGACATGCCGCCAGCCTCTTCCCTGGACACTGCACTCGCTGCATGCGCGCAGGTCTGTGAATTAATATCCTCATAGGCACTGGTGCACGCTGCTGCAGCGCCTACCAGATCGCGCTGGTCGATCTTGGGCATGGCCTGCAGGAGCAGGCTGGCTCCTGCGGAGACTCAGCCTCCACCTGTGTGTCGTCTGACCCCACACCTGGGCGGCCAGCCTGCTCCTGAAAGGTCTCCGGTCACTGTGGCTCCGGGAGTAGCCCAGTGCCACCGTCTCCGGCCCCAGCAGGGCTTTGTCCATCAGTGTCCCTGGCGAGGCTACTGCCCTGCCTCTGCCTGGGATAGATACTTTTGATACCAAACAGGAGTAGCCCGACTCCTCTAGCAAAGAGTGAAAAGCTGTCCAGACTTAGCGGCTGCCGTTCACTGCAGTCGGGGCGTGTGGGCCGTGACTCAGCATGTTACAAGGCAGGTCGGAAGAGGGCCTGGCCATTGTCCTGCTTTTATACCAGGCAGGCTGAACTGAGAAAATGCAAGTGTCTCGGCTGAGCTTATCACTGGAGGATTTAAGCTACGTTAATGCTATAGATTCATTAATTACCCCATATCAATAATTTTTGAAAAGGCAGCTTTTAGCCTCCACGCCTAAGAGAGGAAAAGAAATGGTGGTATCAAAGGAGACCTTCAAAGGCAGCCAGGACTGTCTCCGGGGTAATTTCAGATACCGCATTCTTCCCACTTCAAAGCTGGGTGTGTGTGTGTGTGTGTGTTTGGGTCGAGGGGGCCGGGGAAGCTTGAATCTGATTTCTCTAATAAGTGTTGGCATCAGCCCCGTTTGATATTAGATGCAGGGAACATTCTGATTTGTTATAGCCTTTGAAATTGTTCAGACGACCTTCAGAAAAATGGCCTCTGTTACTTCTGGGGAGAAGGGCGAAAGCAGGGAAAGGGAATCCAGTTTAATTCCTATGCAGAGGATGCCCTGAAATTGTGCTTTCAGCAGTTTTTAGTAACAAATGCATGTCCTGATTGAAAGTGAAAAGTTGAAGAATAATAGACCCATAACACTGCGTTCCTCGGCGAAACTTTGCTCGTGCTTTTTCTCTCTGGGGAGTGCGGAAGGCAGGCAGAGATGAGCACACAGAAGTCTGAGGATTTAGGAGAGACGCACCTCAGCTGCCCGGGTGTGGCCCTCACCTGGGGACAGTGGAAACCCCTGGTGGCTTGTGCATTCTGTGTAGAAGTGTCCGTTTTAGATCCTTTAGGTGACCATACGTACAGCTTCTTGAAACAAAGTAAAGGATTGATAACCTTCTGAGGAGCCGCCCGCATGTTCAGATACTGCTGAGTGGATGTTAGCCGCGGTGACGATGGCGGCAGCAGACCTCAGAGCGGATTGGTAGTGCTGGGCTCTGCAGGGCCCCCGGAGAGCTGAGCCAGTGGGGCACGGGCGGCCTGTGAGCCGCTGTCCCCTCCTCCTGGGCCTCTGGCCGCGGACCTGCTTCCTAGGTCTCCGCCGCCGGTTAACTGTGTGACACCGTGCGTGTCACTTCGTTTCTCTGGGCCTCGGCTTCCTCACCCATGTGGCGGAAACCAGGTCGTCACCCTCATGCGCTGCAGGGTGACGGGTGCGGCCATCAGTAAATGACAGCTGCCCAGCCCCTGTGACAGAGACTGGGGAGGTAACGGTGACCTCGCTTCCAATGTCAGGCTGTCCTGAATGTTCTTCACAGTGTGTGGATTTGACTTGTCACTCGAGAGGTCTTTTGACACTGTGGGGTTTGTCCCGAGGGAGGCGAGTCTGCTGAGGTGCTTGGTCTGAGGTGATTCGTCGCATTTCCCCTGAGAAGAGACCCAGTTCCCATCCTAAGATCCCTGTTCCTGCCCCTGAGTCCCCACAGGCCTGACTCTGTCCCCTGCACGTGGAAGGGAACGGTACTTTCTCATCCTGACACAGGGTGGTTTGCAGCTCCCAGGATGCTCCTTGTTTGACTATCACAGCCAGCAAAAAATTGGTAGCTATGCCCACTTCTGCAGCAAATGAGCTGGAGCTAATAAATATTCACTCAGATCCTTGCTGGCTCCCTGAAATGAATATCTGAAGATCTTCCTGGCCCAAAGGAGAAGCCAGGCATTGACTCCAGAATGCTTTTTAAATGGCTTTCTTTGGCATAAATCTAGCAGAAAATCAAGCACAAACCACCTGCTGTGTGCTCCCAGCAAAAGGGGGGCCACTGTTATCAGATCCTTTTCCGCCCTGTGCACCAGGTAAATAGCCTGCATTGTCCAGCAGTCCTCATCCCAGATGGCAGAGCTGTCCCTGGGGTCCTTCCAGAAAGAGCAGCACCATGGCTTTGAATAAGCATGGTCTGTTCTGAGAGTCCACAGTCAGCTGGAGAAGCCATCTCTTAATTAAAGCCTGTGCATATTTCCCTCTAGATGGTTTTTCTGTTCCAGTGTCTTAAAGATACTGCAGGTTTTAAAGTAAACGCTGTAACGTTTTAGTCTGGAGATTCTCCTTCCTTTGCTGTCGTTGTGGGGCTGTGTTTATGTCTTGGGCTCGCATGTGAAGTGAGCAGACAGGAAGGGTGACAGTGGAGAACTTCACAGGACACAGCTGTGGGCTTAAAATGTAAGGAGAGCTCTGTCAGTTCCAAGCTGAGACGTCGATGTTACTCTTCGTAAGATTTACATTTAGAATCTTTGGCATCTCCCTGTCATCTTGGCAGTGATTCTGGGAGAACTAAAAGATGTGAGGAGTCGTTCTTATTCACCCCGCGCACCCTGAATAATCTGTAAATGCTGCATTTGCTAAACCCCAGCTTCACTGCTGCCCTGGGCAGGTGACAGACCTGGCCTTTTCTCTCCAAGGTGACCAGCTCTAACAGGTGGTAACGCAAGAAATGAATCTCACACATTTCTTTTGAGCTTTCCTTCAGAGTTATCTTTGTCACTTCTCCTCCTACAAATTGTTAACCTGTCAAATGAAAGCCTGATGGGGCCGGGGATTTAGCTCAGTGGCCCTGCGCCTGCCTCACATGCGCAAGGTCCTGAGTTCAGTCCCCGATATAAAAAAAAGAAAAAAGAAAAAAGAACCCGATGCCTGGAGAATTTTCAAGTTCTCCTTCCTGTCCGTTAGTTGCAGGGGTGGGGCAGTGACGGACAGTCGGTGCCATCTTTCTGGAGACCACTTTAGCAGAAGTAGGAAGAACGTTGGCTCCTCTCTTGCCCTCTCTCTCTCTCTCTCTCTCACGCACGCACGCACACACGCTGAGATTCACATGAACCCTGCAGTGAGCAGGAAGAAGCCAGGAGAACTGAGTGTGGGCCTAGCGCAGCCCGGCCCTCGTTCCCGCGGACTCCACAGAAAGCCGCATGTTGGCGTCTTCCCCAGAGTGGAAGCAGAACTCGAGAGCCCAGGTCAAGCGAAGCTCTTCACTCTTCACTTCCCGTGCTTTCAGAAGAGGCTCCTGGCACTGGCTTCGTGCGCTCCCTGAGACCGGAATCCGTGCTGCAGCCATCTCTGTTTCCGCCTTGGCCACTGGCCGACCCCAGAGGCGGCTCCCGGAGACCCACTCGCGGGAGTTTCAATCTGCTCAGCTCGCGACCTCGTGTACTAAAGTCTACTCTCCGTGCCTCCGGGACACGCAGAGGGCCTCCTCGATTCATCATGTCCTGTGCTGCACCCCGGCACTGTCCTTCAGTGGTGCTACTCTCACCACATAGCATTGGCTCTGAAAAGGCAGCGGTGGGGGTCATGGAGGAAATAAAATGGTTTTGGTGGAACCACCTGCCATAGGCCGGGTGGAGTGGTGCGCACCTACAGTCCCAGCACTGGGGAGGCTGAGGCAGGAGGATCACTGCGTGTTTGAGGCCAGCCTACACCACATAGTGAGTTCAAGGTGAACCTGGACTACCTAGCAAGACCTTATCTTTAAAAAAGAATGAGCCGCCAGCAAATCCTGTGTGTACCAAGTGTGGCTGGAGGGGGCGGGGGGTGGACTACACCAGGTTTCTTCCAAGGCCTGCTGCCTTTTATCTCGGGCCAGCGAGATGTCACAGGAACCTCGGAGCACAGTGAAAAACAAAAGGCACAGGCTGTGGGCCTGCTCCAGACCTTGTTCACATACCAGGGTGAGAGTGAGGAGTCCCTTTTTTTTTGGGTGGGGGTGGCAGGGTCTCACTATTTTGTTGAGACTGTTCTGGAATTCACTGCGTAGCTCAGGCTGGTCTCGAACTCCCAGCAATCCTCCCGCCTCAACCTCTCGAGTGCTGGGATTACAGACGTGTGCCACCACCAGGCAGGAATCCACTTTTTTAAAACAACAACCAAAAGGAGTCTCCCCTCCATGCTTCTCACACCGGCCAGGTGAGATCACCTGTGAGAAGCTTCATCACCGGCGAGTACAGCTCCGACAGCCGCCATGTGTGCTGTGGGTGTTGGGGTGCCAGCACCTGCCAGGGCCTGGGGCAGCGCTCTGACGCATGCTCCCGGGGCGCGTCGGGTAATATCGAATTGGACATAAGGCAGCTTTATGTATGCAGAAACTTGTGAACCTTGAAAGGTAAAGAGCAGTGAGTATTGCGGATATATTTAGGTGGGTGAGTAGGGGATACCTCTCTGCTAGGGGACACTGGGCCTGCAGGAGGTACGGGAGGAGCCACTCGGCTCTGTGAGGGAAACAGCATGCAGAGCACCACATACGCAGAGGTCCTGCTGCAGCACTGGCCTCGGCGAGTTGATTGGGGTCAAGGTTAGAAAAGTGCCCAAGGGCCAAGAAGTGTTTTCTTCCATTCCTTGAATACCTGAGGATGGATTTTAAAAAAAAAAAAAAAAAAAAAAAACAAAAACGTAAGCGAGCATTTAAGATCCTTTTCAACCTCCATATCCTCTTCTGTTTCCAGAATGTTTTCTCTTTCTCAAGTATAGTAAGAATGACAGCTGGGCGTGATGGTGCACGCCTGTGGTCCCAGCACTCGGGAGGCTGAGTCAGGAGGATCACCACGAACTCAAAGCCTGCCTGGGCTACACAGTGAGCTCAAGGCCTGCCTGAAATACAAAGGGAGACCCTGTCTCAAAAAAACAAAAAACAAAAAAACTAACAGTACCTGCAACATCCTTCTTGAGTCCAGAATTCTGAAACTGCCTCTAATGGTTCTTACCTCTTTCCTACAGCTTGACATATGGTCCAAATCCAACTATCAAGTATTTCAAAAGGTAGGCTTACTTTCTGTTTCTTACTCATGAGTCATTCGGAAAACAAGAATTTGGGAAATAAATACTGGTCTCAAACTAAAGAGTGTTTTCAAAGTTTTGAAAGCTGCTTGTTTTATGGGTTTTCTTTGTGTGACATTCTGGAAAAAAAAACAAAAGCTTGGGGACAGAAATTGGATGGGTGGCTCCCTGGGGTGGGGCCGTGAGGGCCATCAGGGAGGTGGGGTTCCTGGGTCTGACCGGGGCAGAAGTTCCGACTTAGACAGCTGCTTCCCTCCGAGGGTGAGTCTGACTGTGTCCAGCTTAGCCGATTATAGTCCGACTGTAAACACAGGGTGACCAAAACTTGCACTTTTAAATTAATTTCTGTAAGATAACAAGAAATATAAAAATGACAGTTTTATCAAATTTGCTCAGGATAAGAATCGACTGGCTGGGCCCAGGATGTAGCTCAGTGGTCCTCCGCCTGCCTCACAAGCACAGGGTCCCGAGTTCAATCCCCAGTACTAAAAAGAAGCAACTGGTTGAAATGACACCTGCCCGTGAGACACTCCATCTAAGCTGTTAGGGCTGAAGAGTCAAAGGCTTCAGAGCTGCCGCAAGCTCACTTGTGAGGGTCCGTGAGCCCTGGGACCCACGTACGAACACCGTAAGGGAGTGTCAGGACGGCTCGGTCCCGGGCTCATCCCCAGCCCAGGTCCCTCACCAGGCTCGGCTGCAGCTCCTGACTGAGCCCCTCCGTGTGCCAGGCACCTCGCCAGGTACCAGGAGTTTGGGATGCAGCGCCAGACGGGGCAGGTTGCCGGGATCGCCACTTTCAGATGAGGGCAGCCAGGAGGCCTCGGGGCACCAGAGAAGGCGGGGCTTCCTGGGCGGGACCTGTGTACCTCGGGGCACAGCAGGACACCGTGCAGTGGAGCCACCATGCCCAGGTCGAGCAGGGGTTGCTAAGTATGGCACCGAATTTGGATTCTGTCGTCCTCAGCAGTTCAGTGAGCAGCCACTGGGAAGCTCCCTGCAGAGCAGAGTGGGATTTGGGGCTCTGGGTCACAGTCCCTTCCCATGGAGGATCCACCGGGAGGCGGGGCTTTTTCCCTTCTAGGAGGGGAAGCTCCAGTAATGGGTCCTTGACTCCCTAAAGTGAGCTTTTCTACCCGTGCATGGTGTGCAGCCCTCACCTCCCGGCACAGCTGCCTCTGTCCCCTTGGCAGAGGGCAGAGCCAGGCGGGATGCCATCTGGGCTGAAGGCACACACCGGAGGTAGCCTTGCGCACTGAGCACTGACACTTCATGGGCCACTCGTGACAGAGGTGGGTGGTGCCGGGTGGGATCCTGATCGCGGGGAGCTAATGGGAGCACCAGGCACAGCCAGCCGGACTCGATGGGCGTCCCAGGCCCAGGCTGCACTCCAGAATGAACAGGTCCTGCCTCTACTGACAGCCCGACCGACCCCGCGAAGCTCCCAGGACACACACGGGAAGGAACACCGTCCCCGGGCCCACTGTCCTGCCGGGAGCAATGTGTGCAGCCCTGGCCCCTTGTCTCAGCACGTGCCTGGGTGTCCACTCGCTCAGCACAAGGAACGTGTCCTTCACGCTGGTGGTTCTGGTAATTTTTCACCCGGCTGTTGGCCTAAAATATTCTAAGGCGAAAGAGCCTTGCTCACTATCAGCATCTTGTTTTGCTGGAGTAGTAAGGAGTGTTAAACGGTCTTGGTTTTCCTTCGCCGGCGCTTATCTCCACGTCCTCCCGCCCCACCAAAGGCCAGGCCACTCAGGAGCCCTGAGCCTGGGCTCTGGCCGTGCTCCGATTCCCATCCCAGGGCCCCGCGGCTGGGCTTGCGCCTTCTCGCCTTTGCGGAAGTTTTCATGTCCTGTGCTGTGTAAAGTGTTTCTGAATGCAAGAGGCAAGCTCACTGGGAAATTGGGGAGTGTGAGACAAGGATTTGGCGGGGCTCGGAGGGGCAGTGTTGTGTGTGTCCCGCCTGCTCAGCGCTCTGTGTCTGGCGCTACAGTACAAACGCACTGGTTAGGACTTCGGCACTGTACCCGGTGGGCGCGGCCCCTCCGTGGCAGTTTACGTAACGTGCTTGAGGCGGTGCAGGACCTGGAGAGGTGTCTCTGTCTGCACAGAACCCTCCCTGAGATTCCCGATACAGCATCTCTACCGCCTGGTTTTAACTAAGTTGACATGTCCTTTCCTTCTGACCTGTACTAAGTTAAACAAGCACAGTTGAGGACAGGTGGCGATGCTCTCATTAGAACCGAAGACAGTGTGGAGCTCGTCCTTCTGATTTCAGGGCAGGTAGGCACTGGTGGACTGGAGTCCCACTCCCGGAACGTCACTGTCTACTGTCAGTGGAGCAGTGGATTAGAAAGCCATGTGGGACAGAGCGTTAAGCGCCTGGCTAGTCACTGTCATGTGCAGTGGGTGTGCGTCTCCTCGGGAAGTCGTGTTCCTGGCGGACAGATGCCTTGTGGGGCTTTCACCGTCCATGTCATGCAGGCGAGTGCTCAAGGCGGCCCCTCAGAAGTGTGGCCGCTGTGTCCACCACAGACCCTGAAGGCCTGCTGAGCCCTGGGGTAATGGTTTGCACTTTGGGCCAGAAACGCCTCTAGGGAAAGTTAGGGGGCGACATTCCTAAACTCTGCTTTTTAGGATCTGCTATTTCTCAGAATCCTATGTTCTTCCTGTCCACCCACTTATATTTAGGGTGTCCTGATGGATGTTGCTTGTAGTACTTCCTGGGGAAGCACGTTGGTCAGCGTTCTGTCATCCTGGACTGTGTGGCAGCCCGTATAGCCCAGCCAGGCAGACTGGCCGGGGCGGCCGACCCGGCTCAGGTTGCGTCCGCACCTGGGGGCGACGGGACGCCGCAGAGGGGGTTCCTGCTCGCCGGGCAGGAAGCAGTTCCCAAATTGCCCAAAATCCCATGGGGATGGCCAATGCCCCAGCTGTGCCCACTTCCGGCATAGGATCCCTGGAGAGGGGGTTCTCTCCGGCCCTGCTCTGGGCAACAGCACCTCGGACGCCCTTGCTGTAGCACTCATTATATGGTTGCAATTACTGCGATTGGGATGTATTTTCCTGCCCACAGGCGGCAGCAGTGGCCACCTCAGTTGGACAAGGGCCTGCTGGGAGGCAGGAGCCCTTCAGGTCTCCCCTCTTGGGACACAGGAAGCAGATGGGGAGGGTGCTGAAAAGGACATCATGAGCAGGGAGAGGGGATTGCAGCACAGTCAGATTCTCCTGGGGCCCCGCCTCGCTCCGAGTTAAAGCCTGGACCCCAGGGCTCTGCAGCTAATCCCGCCACGGGAGGTGGACTTCGGCGTTCCCTTTGTGTGCAGGCATTTACTCTGTCTGCACGTCCTTTGCTGTCCTGCTCATTAGACCCTGTACCCAGGCATGGGGAAGTGGCGGCAGGCCGGGTGCGCGGCCGCTAACAGGTGCCTGTCATTTACCCCGCTCCCCTGGAGGCATCTTGCACGCTGTCCTAGGGCCAAGCAGCTTTTCATAGCCAGCGAGTCTCCAGCAGAGTGGATTCAGAGAATGGGGCTTAGAAATGGGGGATCCTCTGAAAGGGCAGAAGCACAAAGAGCCAGGAAAGGTTTCAAGCATGTTCATGTTTTTCTGACATTTAAACTCTACAGGGGCAGTCACTGTTTTGCTCTTTAACCCCCTCATTTCAACACAGTGTGAGTTTTCATCCCGTAACTTTGGAGGCGTGAGGGCCAGGCCTAGCTGCTTCCTTCGTGGAATTCCGGCAGGGTGGGCCACCTGGGTGGGCAGATGGAGACCGGGGAGGCCCACAGTTACTGCTCTGCCAGGCACAGGAAGGAAAGGGACCCATTAGCCCCACACCAGCCAGGTGGGTGTGCAGCAGGGTGCCAGCCTCCTCAGCCCTGTGTTCGGCCCTCAGCCAGGCTTTGGTGTGATACTCCGGGCTGTCTGGGGACAGCCTTGGCGGAGGTGCTTCCTGTATGGCCTCTGGGTACTCAGTCAGCCCTGGAAGGCTCAGTGCCTTGAAACTTTGGTGGACCCTGATATTAAGTTGGCTCTGTTAAGTCGCCCTGCCGTCACCTGTGCCTCAGTCCAAGTCCCTGCAGGGACACTGTCCTAAGGACAGGAGCCCTCCTCCCTCTGGAGCCCGGCTGTGCCGTGTGTCACCTAAGCATATGTACTCCTGTCGCCCAGGGTGTGTGACTGCAGACACAGGCTGCCAGGGCTGCACCTGTCGCCTGCCCTCCTGTGCTGACCTCTCATTGCGCCCCCTCAGTGAGCATCTGAGACGCCGTGAGCCATCTGCTAGTGACCAGACCCCAACACCACCACATCTTCCCAGGGTGGCGAATGGGCCTCGGTTTGCACATCTGTGAGCGGATATGGTGTGGGCACCTACGGGCTCTGCAGTGCCCTCTGCCCTCCTCCCTTTTGGCCAGGTTTGCCCCAGGGGCCCTCGCCTCTGTGTCTGCCCCTCCTAGGGTCCCAGCCGCTCCTCCATCCCCTGCTTCATGGCCAGTGCAGTGTGGCCGTGCCTCTGGCTCAGGTGTGGGCTTGCTGGGGCCAGGCATGGCCCTCGGGAGGCTCAGGTCCCTCCTCTGTGCGAGGGGAGGTGGCACCTGCTCCGTGGGTGGAGGACTTTGCGGCACTGAGGGAGTGTCGTGGGGCTGGGTACAAAACCCAGAATCTGCAGCTCTAAATGGGAGGCCCACTTGAAGTTAGCTTTCCAAAAGCTAAACCAAGACCCAGTCGCCATGACAGACCCACCTTGTGCCTGTCCGAGGCTGGTGTCTTCCCTGAGAGGAAAGCCAGCAGCTCCAGACGCCGGCAGCACCCTGCACACAGCCTTGAGGTCTGGCAGGGCCCCGCCCCTGGGTGCCCCGACTTCCAGCTAGGGCTCCCTGCTCCTCAGCCATCGCCTAAGTCTGGTGGAGAAGTGGATGGTGTTGTCTGTGTCTTCTCGGGCCGACATCTCTGGATGTTTTTCTGACTGCGCAGCGTCC